ATATTTTAGTTGTTCCCTCTTGTTTAAATGTCTAATAATTTAAAACCAAATAAATTTGCTGAAATTAATAATTCATAGAGTGTATTTATAATTTAAGTGTATTTTGCCTAACTGCAGTGGAAGATTTGGTCATGTATTATATATATAATATAATTATATATATATAATTTTTTTTATTATATATTATTATATTTAATATATTATATGTGTTTATTATATGTACATATAGAATATAAAAATAATAGAATTTTATATATATATAAAAAAAAAAAAATATATATATATATATATATATATATATATATATATATATATATATATATATATATATATATAGACATATGTGTGTATGTTTTTTTTTTTTTTTTTCATTCATTCCTTTTCTTTTCAGCTTAGTCCCTTTATCAATCTGGGGTCACCACAGCGGAATGAACCGCCAACTTGATGACCTTCCAGCTGCAAAACATCACTGGGATGCATCCTTACACACTCATTCACTTTCATACACTATGGACAATTTAGCTTACCCAATTCACCTACAGTATAGCGCATGTCTTTGGACTATGATGGAAACCCATGTGAACACGGGGAGAACATGCAAACTTTGCACAGAAATGCCAACTGACCCAACCGCAGCTCGAACCAACAACCTTCTTGCAGTGAGGTGTTCCTGTTACCCACTGCGCCACTGTGCTGCCCTGCATTTTCATAATTTTAGAAATTGTATTTTTATTTTTACCATACTCTTTTAATATCCTCTAAATAAATGAACAATTGAAATGCAGTATAAATATGGTAAATAATCTATAACTTCTACATTTTGGTCTCGGCTTCTACAGTATATGGCTTCAGAAGACTCAAACACACTACTTTAATTGTGCTTTCTTTGTCACTGAATTGTTATACTGGAAAAAACAGATGGTTAAAGATTTATATTAACAATAAGCTTTTTCATATTTAGCACTAAAAATAACCCAATAAAACAGCAACAGCATAAGAGTTTGTTACAACATGAGGATGACTAAATGCATTTAGAGTGTTTTCTCTGTAAACTCATATTCAAATGATATGTACAGTTGAAGACAGAATTAATAGCCCTCCTGAGTTATTAGCCCCCTTCTATATTTTCCCCATTTTCTGTTTAACAGAGAGCAGATTTTTCCAGCATGTTTCTTAACATAGTAGTTTTGATAACTCATTTCTAATAACTGATGTATTTTATCTTTGCCATGATGACAGTAAATAATATTTTACTAGACATTTTTAAAGATATTCAGGGACATTTAAAGGATAAACTAGGATAATCAGGGTAATTAGGCAAATTATTGTTTAACTAACGTTGGTTTGTTCTGTAGACAATAAAAAAAAAAGTGTAATGATATTAACCTTTAATGCATTAAAAAAAAAAAAAAAACTGGGTTCATTCGACCCAAAATAAAACCAGTACGACTTTCTCCAGAAGAAAAAAAATCATAGGAAATACTGTTGAAAATGCCTTGCTCCGTTAAACATCATTTGGGAAATATTTGAAAAAAAAAACATCACAGGAGGGCTAATAATTTGGACTTCAACTGTAAATTGTTCAGACTAGGCTGCGCGTCCCGCTGGAGTACCTGCGCTGGCTCAGCAGGTGGCGTGGCGGAGGTGGAGTCGGCGGGCAAAACTGATGTGGGTGATGATAAGGAGGCGGTGGAGGGGGAAGGGGCGGCTGCTGCTGCTGCTGTTGTTGTTTTCCCGCCTCCCGGGACCTAGTGGGCGTGGACACCGCTGATTGGATGAGGCGATGAGCGGGGTTGTGGCTGAGAAACGCCTCCACATGGCCACGCCCAGCCGAATCCACGACAATCACCTTGACGATCTGCTGGCACTGGATCAGGGTGTCGGGGGAGATGGTGAGGGCGGAGTCAGGGGCGGGGCTAGGCAGGACGGCCAGGCGTTGCTGAGCGCTGGGCGGGGCCAGAGGAGAGCTGAGTTGGTACGTTTGGAGCCTGTTGTGAATTGACACCTAGTTTAGAAACAGCCAGAAGCAGGAAGCGTTATCAGCCTGGCCTGCTGCACTCTCACGGCCCTCTGGTGCGGATCACACGACAAGGCCATGCCACAGAGCATGCAGGCGGCAAACAAGGCACCAATACTGACATACAGCGCCGTTACACTGGGTGAAAGTGAGGGACGCTGCCTGTCTATTTTTATTTAAAGGGATAGTTCACTCCAAAAAGTGAAAATTGACTATTTATTCACCCTCAAGTGGTTCCATGTATTTCTTCTGTTGAATGATATGTTTTGGAGAATCTTGGAAACCTGTAACCATTGACTTCTATAATAGAAAAAATAAATGCTATAGAAGTCAATGGTTACCGGTTTCCAGCTTCCTTTAAAATGTATATTTTCTGTTCATTCATTCATTCATTTTCTTGTCGGCTTAGTTCCTTTATTAATCCGGGGTCGCCACAGCGGAATCAACCGCCAACTTATCCAGCAAGTTTTTTCAGCCGCAACCCATCTCTGGGAAACACCCACACACACATTCACACAAACACTCATACACTACAGACAATTTAGCATACCCATTTCACCTGTACCGCATGTCTTTGGACTGTGAGGGAAACCGAAGCACCCGGAGGAAACCCACGCGAAGGCAGGGAGAACATGCAAACTCCACACAGAATCGCCAACTGAGCCGAGGATCGACCCAGCGACCTTCTTGCTGTGAGGCGACAGCACTACCTACTGCGCCACTGCCTCGCCACTATATTTTTTGTGTTCAACAGAAAAAAGAAACTCTTAAAGGTTTTGAAACAAGTAAAGGGTTAGGAAATGATTATGATTTCTGGGTGAACCATCACTTTAAAGGTTAATATTATGTGGTTCATACTTTTAACAGCTGTTTTTACATTGGGTGAAAGTTGGGGACACTCCCTTCCTACACTGTGATTTTTGTATTTTTATTTAAAGGGATAGTTCAATCAAAAAAATGAAAACTGACTCACTATTTACTCACCCTCAAGTGGCTCCAAATGTTTCTTATTATTTTGAATGACAATGTTTTAAAGAATGTTGGAAATCTGTAACGATTGACTCCCATAGTAGCAAATAAATACTTTGGAAGTCAGTGGTTACCAGCTTTCTTCAAAATATCTTCTCTACAGAAGAAAAACACTCATAATTTTTTTATTGGGGGGGGGGGGTGAACTATCACTTTAAGGAGATGTTTTATGTGGTTTATACTTTTAAGAATTGTTGCTGTTTTTAGCATTTAAAATGTCTTACCAGGTAAAAGCACAGATTCACAGTCCAGACAGGGTTATAGTCTCAAATGTTTGTTGAATAATCCAATTTTCTCTCTGGTAAGTTAACTATCACTAATGGTTTGATCATTACAAAAAAATTGAGCCAAACATGTAACATGAATGTTACATGCACTGAAAAAAGATGATGTCTTCAGAATTGTTGCAAACAATGTATACCTGTTGAATTTAAACAAACGTATTAAATTTATTAATGTTCAACTTAATTTGTTTGTTTAAATTCAGCCCAAATAAATTGTTTACGACCACAAAAAAAAGTGTAAATCCAAGGAATCATCTTGGAATCCTTTTTTTTTAAAGTGTGGATCTAATAAATGTTCAGGGAGAATAACTGTAAATGAACTAGTATTATACAGGTAAGCAAGCGATAAATATTGGAATTTGGCCAATAGTTGTTTGGTAAAATAGGTATCGACCCCCAAAAAATGTGTTTAGTTTGTTGTCGTTGGAGTACTTAAGGCACGAGTTGTACATTTATTAAACTGCAAATACTTTTGTGTTGACTGTCCACTTAAAATGCCTAATGAAAACCATTTTACATGAAACAACAATCGATATTGACTTTTAATTCGTAGAGCTCTATTTTGACGATTTATGCACAAAGTGCAAAGCGCAGGGCGCAAACCCATTCAGGGCGTGGCAGAATCCACTTTTGCTAAAATAAGGACGGAAAAATCCGCTTTGCGCCGTGGCACATGGTCTAAAAGGGTTGAGCTTATTTTCTTAATGAGTTATAAGTGTGTTTTGAGAATAAACCAATCAGAGTCTCATCTCCCATTCCCTTTTAAGAGTCAGCGCCATCGCGCATTTTCTATTTACATGACAGACTTTGTAAGTGGAAAAACTGAACACTTCACTAGCAAGAAAACAGTTAAACAGCATCTACAGCGCAAGAATGAGAGATGAGCCTCCTCATCGTTTACTTTCCCTTTCACTCTGGTGGATAGGGAAACTTCTTGTACGCACAGACATCCATTAGCCAATGAATAATTAATTTTGTTTATAAAGCACAAAGATTTGTTTCAAAACTATTTCTAACTTCAGTTCGAATTTCCAGCAAACGAATAAATGAACAATAATAACGAAGTATGCTCAAAAAACGAGTTATATCCAAATACACATGCTGCGCCCCAGATAGTCTAAAACCTGACAGGTGGACAAATCTAAGATTGTTTTTAATAAAACAAATATATGCATATACTAAATATTACTGCTAATAATAATAACATAAAGTGAATTGTTATGAATAAACTGAAAAAGCCCCCTGAGATGAAGATGGCATGAAAGTATGGTTTTTATATTTATGTAGGCTAGAAGATAATATGTTTTCTAATCCTTTATATTTATATCCTATATATATCCTTATTATATCCTATGTATATCCTTAATATTTTTATTATTTTTCATATGCAAAGATATTTGCGTATTACTGTACATCCTGTCTGTATAAAGCAATGAGAAAGCGAGGCGCACAACTAACCTGCTCTGCGCTGGACTATAGACCTGCTTTGTTCTGGATAATAGCAACGCGCCAGCAATGCACCTCAACACGCCTCCTTTTTTAAACCAGCACGCCTATGGGCGCACATATGAGCGCAAATATATTTGCTATTAAAACAGCGTGGTGCAAAATGTCAAAACGACTCTTGCACCAAGCTGAAACTAGCAAACAACAATTGCGTCTCGCCTTGCGCCACATTGCGCCGGGTGTATGATAGGGGCCATAGACTTTATTTTTAAAACAACACATTTATCTTTCGTAGGTAATGTTAATTTTAACATTGACAAATACAACATTGGGCTTAAACAATGTATCAGTCAATATCATTTAATAATATTGAGCTAGCATGAACTAATGTTAAAAAAAAGAATAATAAATATGACAAATGTACTACTCAGTGTTATAAACTAATATTAACAAAGACAGTGTATTTTCTTAAGTCATCAAAACTTGCAGCAATCAAACTGACTAAAATATTAAGTTATTACTAACAATTAATGACTTAAAAAGCTATTAATAAAATAAATATTAATAACTTTTCAAATTTAGTAGAAAACTGATCATCAAAATAACTTGCAAAAACATTTCTTGTCCTGGCTTATTTTTTTTTACTGCGAGCGGTCAATTACTGGCCTGTTTTTCTTGTTCCTCCAAAAAAAAGAAAAATCTAATAATACTAATAAGTGTTTAGTTAGTTAATAAAGGTACAACAAAACCTGGCAGTTCATGCAGACAGCGGAAGACAGCATGATACAGTACCTACAGCACAGTCGGTGTGGGTGAAAGCGGGTGATGCTGACTTCCTGCTTGAACTGCCGCCATTTGGATAATTAGCTACTATCTTATGCGTTTCCTTTTATTACTGCGCTGCTAATCAGACTGTTATATTTTTATCCGTCTGTAAGAAGCATTAAAGTGCCCCTTGAGGGCCTCGGCGCTTGGCAGTGAGGGTCCTTGTTGCATGCTGGGTAATTTGCACCTTGTCTTGATAGACCCGGTTTGCATGTGTATGCGTGTTTGGCATCTCTGAAAAGCGCTTTCGTAGCCTTCTGTCCACACTAGAAACAGCTCAGCCTCTTTAATGAAGTGCGGTAAAACTATTGGCTATTGTGTTTCTGGACGTGTGTTAGGAAAATTAAAATTGTTTCTCCGCTATTAAGCAAAGGACCAAGTTTGGACACCCCTGACCTAAAGTAATGGCACCCTATATAGCCCATGGGTTTCCTAATACAGTGTTTCCCAACCCTGTTCCCGAAGGCACACCAACAGTACATGTTTTCAACCTCTCCCTAATCAAACACACCAGAATCAGCTCATTCGAACATTAGAAGAGGCTCCAAATTCTGAAATGAATGGGTCAGATAAGGGAGACATCCAAAATAAGTACTGTTTGTGTGGCTCCAGGAACAAAATTGGGTTGTCCTACTACACTATTTCACTAAGACATCATTTATATTATATTAAGTCTTAATAACCGGTGTGTCTTTGAGAGAATTTCACCACACAACAACAGCAGCTGTATGCAAGACTAAAACACAGCAGTCAGCAAAAGCCTGAGTGAGAGGCCATAGATTACAGATGACGGTGAGGGGCAGATGGTGTTATCTGGGATTGGCAGTGCCGTTATTACTCTGCACGGGGGTCTATGTGTGTGTGCGCGCAGTGAAGACACCGAGGGCAGGCGTCTCCGCTTTGACGGACAGTGAGCTCAGGGGTCAGTGGGTGAAGGGCAGGGGTTGTGGGCTGGTGGGGAGGTTATCTCTGATTCTGCAAGGAGATATAGTGATGATAACTGAATGGACAGTACGTGCTCTTACCACTTACAATATATGCCAGAAGTCTGAAAATGCTCGGGGTTGTGAGATTGAGTTTTGGACAATGTTAACATGATTGCTTTACTTTTATGACATAAATGCATTCAAGTGTTATGCATTTATTAATGGAAATGCCAACAGCACAGCCTTGATTTCTAAAAGAATTTTAAGATTTGACAAGAGGACTAATTTTACATCATTAGACAAAGTTAGATATTTCTGACAAAGTATAAAGTTCCTGAATGTCTAATGTTGTACTGGTTTTGGATATATTGAAAGCATATTAAATGCAAGCAAAGCATTTGATGTTTACCCGTTTCAAATGTTATCACTCGATTGAATGTGCATAATCTGTGGTTACCAGCTGATATGGGCCAGTAGGGGCCTTCTGTGCCTACTAATAGGCTCAGAAGGATGTTATTATCCATACAATATTGTATTTGTGCATATACTGTACATTAGATTAGTCAGTACTGAAGCCAAATGTAGAGCTTATCTAACAAAATAACGTACGATAACAGTCTAAAAACTAGTTCCCCCAAATTTATATCTTATAGAAAAATATTAAATACAAATTTTAAAAGAAGAAAATATCAAGAGAAGAAAAAAAAGGAAAAATTGAATTGAAATTTTGTAGGTTGTAATATTTTTTTTTTATATATATTTTGCTTGCATTTAATTGTATTCTCTTTCAATTTCTAAATCTGTTTGGTGACTAAAATATTATTTTCATAAGTAAATCTGCTTAATAAATTTTAAATAAAGTTTTGTTTAAATGCACTAAAATGCACGCTTACATTTACTGAGAAATGGATGAAAATATAAAAAATATAGTAATAATAAAAAATGTATATATATATATATATATATATATATATATATATATATATATATATATATATATATATATATATATATATATATATATATATATATATATACACACAGTAAATATATACTTGAATTGAGTTCAATTTAAACAAATATCCAATGTTGCGCTGATTTTGATAAAATGTAAAAATATTCGAAATAAAACATTTCATCAGGTAATTTCATATTTTATTTATTATATACAAAAATCTTATGTTTTTTTGGTTATGTACTTATAAAAGTATGTACAATAGTATTTCATTGATTATTTTTTGTTAATCAATCATACTCTAAGCCATTTTTGATATTTTTTGACAAAGTCATTTTTTAAAAATTTAAAAGCCTCCAATTAATGTCTAAGAAAGTTTACAAATAGTTTTTATGAAATCTTCCTGAAATTTATTTTAGCATCAAAAACCTGAGTAGGCCTAAAATTATGTCATAAATGTAAAAATAAAATAAACAAATCAACAGATAATTGATCTAATAATGAACTAAAGAACAAATCCCAATCATATTTTGTGACAAATTGTGCTAGAACTAAACTGGCATGGTTTTTGGACACAGCACCCCAAAATTTGATGGAATAATTACTTTAATTTCTTAATAAATAATATGCAGTATAGTGTTATTTTCTGATTGATTACGTGCAAGTTTCTTTTTGAAATGTATTGGATTTGTAGATCTTTATATTTGCCCTAAATGATTTCAGAACAGTCAGATTACCATTGATGCTTTTAAAACAGCTATTTTCATATTCACAGTCAGAGCTGCCCTTTATCAATGCACTCATCACAAAAAATGATACAGATTTAGCTGATGTTATCCAAAACTCTACTTTGCCGTGAGCGTTTTCAGATTTCTGGAGGACGCTGTACATGCATGCACACCGAATCATAATTTTACACTCACAGCACAATTTAATGATACAAACCTCTACCGTGTTGCTTCCCGCTTTCTCATAAAAATCATCCCCTGCAAATACACAAGACATCAAAAACAGGCTTATAACATTCAGTGGAAGTCAAAATTATTAGCCCTCCTGACAAACTTCAAAATATTTCCCAAGTGATGTTTAACAGAGCAAGGATATTTTCCACAGTATTTCCATATAATATATTTTTCTTCTGGAGAAAGTCTGATTTCTGACAGAAAGAAGATTTATTCAACACATTTCTAAACATAATAGTTTTAATAACTCATCTCATATTCTCAAGACACTTCTATACAGCTTAAAGTGACATTTAAAGGCTTAACTAGGTTAATTTGGTTAATTTCTGTTAGTTAGGGTAATTAGGCAAGTCCTTTTTTAACAATTTTTTTTTCTGTAGACAATCAAAAAGGTATTGCCAAATATTACCAAACGAGACAACATTAGTTTTCAAAAGGAGTTGCAAAGTGCACCTTTCAAGCTGTATGCAGGTACGTCTCTCATGTATGTCTCTCGTGTTCATGGAGATTCCGCTGTTTTTCTGACCACAGTATACATGTTGCACGTGTCTCACGTGGACGATTGTAATAACAATGTTGCTTTTGGGCATGGTCACATGAAAATATTGAGCTCAGACTGAGAAACATAGAGACAGTGTTGCTTTTTGATTACTTTATCAAACAATATTAGTTTTCAACATGCACTCAAAGTAGATATTTTGAGCTTGAGCTATAGATAAATACTCACTGGACACTTTATTAGGAACACCTTACTAGTACCTGGTTGGACCCGCTTTCACCTTCAGAACTGCCATGATCCTTCGTGGCATAGATTCAATAAGGTACTGGAATATTCCTCAGAGATTTTGCTCCATATTGAGATGATAGCATCACGCAGTTGCTACCGATTTGTCAGCTGCACATCCATTTTGCGAACCTCCCGTTCCACCACATCCCAAAGATGCTCTATTGGATTGAGATATGGTGACTGTGGAGGCCATTTGAGTACAGTGAAGTCATTGTCATGTTCAAAAAACCAGTCTGAGATTATTTGCGCTTTGATGTGGTGTGTTATCCTGCTGGAAGTAGCCATCAGAAGATGGTTATACTGTGGTCATAAAGGGATGGACATGGTCAGCAACAATACTGAGGTAGGCTGTGGTGTTGACACAATGCTCAATTGGTACTAATGGGCCCAAAGTGTGCCAAGAAAATACCCCCCACACCATTACACCACCACCAGCAGCCTGAACTGTTGATACAAGGCAGGATGGATCCATGCTTTCCTTTTGCTGGTGTCAAATTCTTCCCTACCATCCGAATGTTGCAGCAGAAATTGAGACTCATCAGACCAGGCAACATTTTTCCAATCCTCTATTGTCCAATTTTGGTGAGCCTGTAAGAATTGTAGCCTCAGTTTCCTGTTCTTAGCTGACAGGAGTGGTACCCGGTGTGGTCTTCTGCTGCTGTAGCCCATCTGCCTCAAGGTTGGACGTGTTGTGCATTCAGAGATGCTCTTCTGCAGACCTCGGTTGTAACAAGTGGTTATTTGAGTTACTGTTGCATTTCTAAAAACAGCTTGCAGGGAGAACAAAGAAAAAATGCACACACTGTTTATCATCCTTATTTTGCAAAAATACACTCTTTATTGTTATTTTGAGTGTACACAGCAAAAAGTAGACACCTAACTGATTTGAACGGTGCATAACACTTGCTTGTGTGAACAAAATCAACAGTGCATTCTTGGTGTCTTTGGCACTGATAAGAAAAAAGATGCTAACCATGCCGCAGTGATCTGGCAAGCTCAGAGGTTTTAAGAGGGTTACTAATTTTTACCTTAAAACGTTTTTTTTTTTTTTTGTTGTTTTTTTAAATAAAAACTGCTTTTATTCAAGCCGAAATAAAACAATTAAAAAATATTATCAGACATACTGTGATCATTCTTTTTGCTCTGTTAAACATCATTTGTAAAATATCTGAAACAGAAAAACAAATTCACAGGAGGTTGAATGATTGTATATGTGTGAATCCGCTTGTTAAGTGTGACGTCACGCAAAGCGGCTTCCGGGTCCAAGCGCTCTATTTAATTGAATGGGGAGACTCATTAAATGGTAATAATAAATGTTTACAAAGCGATTTAATGCTTTCGAAAATCACGATTGCAATATACTGTATATGTCCATGCCTAATATCCGATGGCCAAAAAAGTGATTCATTTTTTTATAAATTGTTAAATTTTGGTATTTGTTATGCAGCAAGCCCAGAGATTGTTGTGTACACTATGATTTTATATAAAATTAACTTTAATGTGTGATAGGAATAAAACGTGATCATAAACGAATGATTTCTCCACTCAAATGAATGGCAGCTTGGACCCGGAAACAGTATACATACATCACAAACACGTCACCACTTAACAAGCGGATATGTATGTTATTGCGTGTACCTGAAGCAGAACTCGGTCCGGCATGGATGTCCAGTTGTGTGCCGTTCTTGTTAGTTTGATTTCTCACAACCTGTTGTCTTTCTAGTTCCCCTGAGAAGCGCATACATAATTCATTTTAATGACGGCCACAATATTGCCCACGAGCAAGGCATCCCTGCTGAAAAATCCAGCTTAAACCAGCCTAGGCTGGTTTAAGTAGGTTTTTTCGGTAGGGTTCAAACCACTGATGATTATCAACTTCCATTCAAGCGAACCTTTAGGTGATGATAATGAGTTAAAATGTTAAGAATAATAAATCAATTATGTATAGTGGTATTAAACAACTTAAGATGAGGAAAACATGCAATGACCAGTAAAACAGCATTCTTTAAAGGGGACATATCAGCTATTGGTGGTTAGCACTGTTGCCTCTCAGCAAGAAGGTCGCTAGTCCGAGTCCCGGCTGGGTCAGTTGGCATTTCTGTGTGGAGTTTGCATGTTCTCCCCGTGTTGGGGTTGGTTTTCTCCGGGTGCTCCGGTTTCCCCCACAGTCCAAAGGCATGGGCTGTAGATGAATTGAATAAACTGAATTGGCTGTAGTGTATGAGTGTGTGTGAATGAGGGTGTGTATGGATGTTTCATAGTACTGGGTTGCAGCTGGAAGGGCATCCGCTGCATTAAACATATGCTGGAATAGTTGGCAGTTCATTCCACTGTTGCGATCCCTGATAAATCAGAGACTAAACCAAAGGAAAATGAATGAATGTAACCCAATGTTGGGTCAAATATGAATAATGCTGGGTTAATTTTCTTAAATTAAAGTTCACCTGAATTAGAAGTTGCTGTGACTTTTATTTCAGTATGTAATAAACTTCCAACTGAAACGTAATATTGATATTGATCATTCCCTCATAGCAAACTAACGATAAGATGGGTGTGGTTAAGAATATGTGAATTGACATCATCAGAGATGGACCACCACTGCAATAGCAGAACCAAATTGTCAGATTTGATTTAAGATTTCCAAAACAAACGATCAGTGGACACGCTTGCATAGATTAATTGTTCACCCTAAGAATAAAATTGTGAGCTAACAAGAAAAAACTTCTGGGTTCTTCCATATTTGACCCAACATAAAACAACCCAGCGTTTTTACAGTGTATTCTATTTAAAGTGATTTTGGCTACGCTAAAGCATGTCAACATGGATAAATGAGCATGCAGTAATGTAGAAAGATACTCACACTCAATGCGGATTTGCTCCATCTCTGCCACTTCTGCGATGCTCTCTCTCAGGTCCTCTATGAACTTGAGCAGCTCGTCGGCGCTCTGAGAACAGAAACTCACCACCTGCTTCTTCTCCGACGAGAACGGAGACAATATCGTGATTCCATGAGGATAATCTGTGAACAAAAACATTGTATTACAACAAATACTTAGTGAGATCCTGCTCTGGGGATTTGTGAATTATTTCAGCTTGATTTAAACTAATATTATTTGTGTACTGCATAATGTGTTCTCATGCAGTTACCGTTGTTTACATTAGGGGTTACCAAACTTTTCTGCCCGTGACCTCCAAAACAACAATGCCACTGACTCGCAACCCTCAATATCCTCTGTGGTGGTTATAAATACAGAAATCTTGCATGCAATGGCGCACACACTAATAGACACAAGTCTATTCTTTGTTTAATTTTTATAATGTATATCAGTGCTGTAAATGTATCATAAAGTTTAACCTGCTGTTATAAAATCAGTCTGCTGCATCTGATGCTATTGCTGTGTTTAATATAATGTAATTACCCCAGAGGTCGCAATCTAATAGAACCAGAACTATAAACTACTATAGTAACTATATAGTACATAGTAACTATTAACGATTAGTTTTTCTTTTCAGTAGGTTTTGGATAAAATATGGTAATTGTTATAGTTTAATAAAAATATATAATTTTTTGGAAATCACCAGGGCACCCCCGTTCATTGTCCAATTGTCCACTGGTTTACATCATAATGGCCATGTATAAACTTCACAGCTTGACTGACAGAAAAGCAAACAGATACATTTTGGAGATATCTTATAAACACCTTTACCTTATAAATAGAGAATAAGAGTCGGGTTTGAAAGTAAAATCTTTGGAAGAATTGTTTTTCTTAGGAGATTAATAGGTAATCTACTTCTTGAAAAAAAATAAAGTCACTAAAAATTATTTTAATATAAAAATGATGGCATTATCCATGACTACACTTTGCATTTTAAAATGTTTTGAAGGCATTATGTGGATTATGCTTTTATGTTTTGTTTAAAACACAAAACATATTTAGTTATTTCTGAACTGATATTAAATTACCAAAATTGAAATTTTGTTGATCTTATAAGGTCAATTAATAATCAATCATTTTAATATTACTTAATTTAAATTTAGCACATAATTAAAAAAACTTGTATGAAAAATAGCATGAAATAAGCATTGTTATGTGAAAAAAAATTATATTCATATTTAAAGGTGCAGTAAGTGATTGTCCTCAAAAACATTTGTTGTTGTGCTGGTTGAAAGTCTCTTCACATTCCAATAGTAATGATTAAAGTAAATGATCTAAATGTTTTTTTATATGTATTTATATATTCTGGGTGAGGCACAAAACAAAAAAAAATGTTCATTTCATTAAACATTGTTGGGCCGACATCTCCCATAATTCTGATAAGCAGCTCAAATGTACTGTCAACAACTGCAGATTTGAATGACTGCGCACCCATTCACGTAAATCAGCTGTTTGTTAGTGAGTGACAACAGTAACAACAAATGCTGAATCAAAACTTTGTAAAATCCTGAATCAATATTGGAGTGAGTTTTGCACACTGGAGGAAGGTCACCATGGCGGTAGTATTTCTGTTAGAGAGGTAATGTTCTGTTTTAAAAGTATCTTAGCCTCGCAAAGCTGATGTAGCTTGTGTTGTTATGAATGGCGGGTTATATGCACAGAAGTGTTGTTCAGCGACTGAAATCCCCTGGTGAAAGACTGATGTGACTATTTTGTTTCATAAGGGACCTTTGACAGCATCAATAATGTATATTTATATTTAGTTTAACAATAAAACATCAGTGAACAGCGCTATTCCGCCTAGCCTGCTTTACTGAGCTGAAGTTGCTTTTATATTCACATTGGGTCATTTTTGAACAGTGACAGCCTGTGATGCGCTCCCTATATTGTTCACCATGCTACTCTGAATTTATTCAGTGTGAAATAACATGTAAATATGACTTAGTAATAAGTATACGCCGCTGACCACCCATCGTTCGAACCACCCGAACCCCCCTGGCTACAGGCATGCTACATATACTCAATGCAAAATTGACAAAATATCCATCTGAACTACACATATGAATTTCTCAAATGCAAACAATTTAAAACAAAAATATTTAAAACTGAAATGCATCATACTATAACATAGGTTAATAAATCCAAACAAATAGGCTCCTACATGATCAAAGGACATAAAAGTGCCCGTAGTTGAAGAGTTACTCATAACAGTAGCCTATATATCAGAATAATGTTATTATTATTTAAATTATGTATTAAAATCTTTAAATATCAGCCTTCTGACCTTCTGATTGGCTAATCGGGAGGACCGGGAGAATTGCCGGTGGGCTGGTTGGTTTTTTTGGCCGTGGGGGCTCGTGTCCCTAGCTGTTTGCACTCTCAGCAGTCGCACTTTTTTTTCTTTTTATTCATTATTTTGCCACAGCTCTGCTCTTTTTATTTATTTTCTTGCAGCCCTGTGAGCAAAATGCAGCCCACAGGTTAATGATGACGTAATTATCAAACGACCTCAAACAGCGGCACCTTAGTGAATATAAGGTTTTGAATAATTAATAATAATGAATATTACACCTGCTCAATAAAAATCAGATGTTTCACTACATTAATAAATCTGAAGTAACTTGATCAGAAATCTAAAAAGGGGGGAAAAAGCACCATTGTGGTCCAGTGGTCAGCACACTGCGTTACGATGCCGTTGACCCGAGTTCAAACCTAACCTGAGTCATTCATTCATTCATTTTCTTATCGGCTTAGTCCCTTTGATCATCCGAGGTCGCCACAGTGGAATGAACCACCAACTTATCCAGCAAGTTTTTACACAGCGGATGCCCTTCAAGCCTCAACCCATCTCTGGGAAACATCCACACACACATCCACAAACTATGGACAATTTAGCCTACCCAATTCACCTGCACCACATGTCTTTGGACTGTGGGGGAAACCGGAGCACCCGGAGAAAACCCACGTGAACGCAGGGAGAACATGCAAACTCCACACAGAAACGGCAACTGAGCGAACCAGCCACCTTCTTGCTGTGAGGCGACAGCACTACCTACTGCGTAACTGCATCGCCACCGATATATCAGAGTAATGTATCATCATTCAAATTATTTGTTAAAATCTTTAAATATCAGCCCTCTGACCAGACCCAGATTGGCTAATCGGGAGGACCGGGAGAATTGCCGGTGGGCCGGTTGGTTTTTTGGCCGTGAGGGCTGGTGTCCCAAGCTGTTTGCACTCTCAGCAGTCGCACTTTTTTCATTTATTTGTTTATTTGACCATAGCCTCACTCTTTTTCTTCATTATTTTGTTGCAGCTCCGCTCTTTTTATTTATTTTCTCGCAACCCAAAATGCAGGCACCTTAGTGAATATAAGATTTTGAATAATTAATAATAATGAATATTACACCTGCTCAATGAAAATCAGAGGATTCACTACATTAATAAATCTGAAATAACTTGATTTGAAATCTAAAAAGGGGGAAAAAAGTGCCATTGTGGTCCAGTGGTCAGCCAGCCTGATCTCACGAGAAAACGTAAGTATTTTACGTTTTGCCAGTTTAGTGGCTAATTCGTACGAATTCGTACGAGTTCAGTCGTACGAAATGGTACGATTTTAAAAAGTAGGCATGGCACCTGACCCCACCCCTAACCCCAACCGTCATTGGGGGATAAGCAAATCGTACTAAATTATACGAATTAGATCGTACGAATTCATACGAATCAGCCACTAAATGAAAAAGTTACGAATTGCCGTGAGATTGTGTTGGGTCAGCACACTGCATTATGATGCTGCTGACCCGAGTTCAAACCTCACCTGAGACATTTTTATTTATTTATATATATATTTTTCCTTTTTAGAGTTAAGACATGTAATACTGTTTTGGTTTCTTATGTAGGTGCGCATATTTTACTTTAATTTTTTTGTGTGAACACTATTACAAAGGACTTTGGGATTTTGTGTGTGTTTGTAATCTTACACTCGTTCTCAAACAGGTGAAACTGCATTCCCAGTAAACCCATGGCCTTGCAGAACGTATATGTGGCGGCAGTCTTCTTCTTAGGGCACAGTTTTAGGATCTATAGCATCATGAAACAAAGAAAAACACTCATGTCTTACTTTGCATTTTCAGTGTTCACATGAAATACTGTATGTTTTGATGAATGTGTCTCTCACCACTATCAGGTCATTGAAGAGGAAAACCTCCCTCTGATGTGAAGCCTGTTTCTGCGGTTTATTTACATCCGTGACCTCATAGAGTCGACTGCAGCACACCAGCCTGCGGTGAGGAACCGACAGGATCTAAAGAAACAAAGAGAGATTGAATATCTAGTGAAATGAGTCCAGGAGATTCAGCCTCCATCAGCACAGGAAATGAACATGCGGATGTCTGGTGCAGCATCGGCTGGAGACAAGAATTAATATTTCATGCCGAGGTACAATGTTTAGCAGCGCTGTCATGTGAAATCTGAAATTACAGCAGCAAACTAATGAGTCCTGCTTTAGTCCTACGTTTATAGCTCACACACTGATAAACCGATTCACGCAGCTGTTAGAATACAGAGGTGGCAAAAATTAATGACCAGAAACTGGAATGTGAATATCGCTAGCTTATTTTTAATTTCGTTGATCAAACTTCAGACTAAGGAAAGTTTTTGGGGGTCATTTAAGTTGAAGAATGGCATTTCTCTCATTAGAAGGCAGACTCAGTACTTGTCAGTTATTGATGGCTGTTGTTAAAATGGTTTACTTTGACCAAAACAAATTTATATAACAATGTTTAATTTTTATTGCATCTTTCTAATCAACATTCCAACCATTAATAACATGAGCATATCTATGCAAATCAGCAGACAATGACTGATTTTAATAAGAGTAATAAGGAAAAGTAAATAATAACAATTAAAAGAAATAATTTAATAAATTGGATGGATGGATGGAACAATTCATTCATTCATTATTCATTCATTCATTTATTCATTCGTTCATTTATTCATTCGTACATTTATTTATTTATTTATTCATTCATTTATTTATTTGTTCATTTATTCATTTATTTGTTCATTCATTCATTCATTTATTTATTTGTTCGTTCATTCATTCATTTATTTATTTGTTCATTCGTTCGTTCGTTCATTCATTCATTCATTCATTCGTTCATTAATACATTCATTTATTTATTTGTTCATTTATTCATTTATTTAATCATTTATTTATTCATTCATTCATTTATTCATTCATTTATTTGTTCATTCATTAATTCATTCATTAAGTCGTTTATTTGTTCATTCATTTATTCATTCATTTATTCATTCATTCATTTATTTGTTCATTCATTAATTCATTCATTAAGTCGTTTATTTGTTCATTCATTCATTCATTCATTCATTCATTTATTCATTCATTCGTTTATTTATTGTTCATTCATTTATTTATTCATTCATTTATTTATTCATTTATTTGTTCATTCCTTAATTAATTATTTCATTCATTCATTTGTTTATTCATTCATTCATTTATTTATTTCTTCATTCATTTATTTATTTGTTCATTCATTCATTAATTTATTTATTTGTTCATACATTCAATAATTTATTTATTTATTTGTTCATTCATTCGTTCGTTTATTTATTTGTTCATTCATTTATTCATTCATTTATTTGTTCATTCATTCATTCATTCGTTCGTTTATTTATTTGTTCATTCATTCATTCATTCATTCATTCATTCATTCATTCATTCATTTATTTGTTCATTCATTCATTCATTTATTCATTCATTTATTTGTTCATTCATTCATTTGTTCGTTTATTTATTTGTTTATTCATTCATTCATTTATTTATTCATTTATTTGTTCATTCATTCATTCATTCATTCATTTATTTGTTTATTCATTTATTTATTCAGTCATTCATACATTCATTCAATTATTCATTCATTCATTCATTCATTCATTTATTCATTCATTTATTCATTTATTTATTTCTTCTTGCTGTGAGGCGATTGTGCTTCCCACTGCACTACCATGCTGCCTCCATTGACTTTTATATAGGAAAAAATGACTATGGAAGTAAGTGAGTCCCAGCTACCTGCATTCTTCAAAATATCTTCTTTTGTGTTGAAGAAAAGAAAGAAACTCAAATAGGTTTGAGTGAAGGGTAAATAAATGACAGAATTTTCAGTTTGGGGTGAACTGTCCCTTTAAGGTTTCTTCAAATCACACTAGTATGAGTGAAGTTAATGAGCTAGTCCAGCTAATAACTGTCTAATAAAATCTCAGTGTGATCACCTTTACAGATCTGTTTTCAGCTGTTTTATCCTCAGACTGAAAGGAAAGATGTTGCACTTTTTAGATTTACGTGACCTTTGTTTAATTAGTAGAGGTCTGACTCACCGTCTTCATTCCCAGAATGCTCTGCTCCACCCTGGTAACGTAGGTCACATGGTCCTCATTGGATCGAAGCTCCCGCTGCTGAATCCGCTCATAAATCCCAGCCAGCATCTCCCGTGGAATATCTGCTCCATCGTCCACTCCTGAAGGGCAGTTCATTCAGTTAATAAGCAGACCAAAAAGTTGCTAGGGTAATCTGGGCTGTTGCTAGGCAGCTACTAGGATAAAATGAGTGGTTGCTTGGCAGTTGCTAGGGAATATAGTGTGGTTGCTAAGCAGTCACTAGGATTAAATTAGTGGTTGCTATGTTGCTAGGGTAGTATGGGTTATTGCTAGGCAGTTAATAGGATCAAGTGAGTGGAGGCTAGGTAGTTGCTAGGGTAAATTGTGGTTGCTAGGCAGTTACTAGAATCAGATAACTGATTGCTAGGAAGTTACTACAATCAAATAGTGGTTGCTAGGATGTTGCTAGGATAATTTGGGTTATTGCTAGACAATAACTAGGTTCAAGTAAGTGGTTGCTAGGTAGTTGCTAGGGTAAAGAGTGTAGCTGCTAGGATGTTGCTAGGATAATCTGGGTTGTTGCTAAGTAGTTACTAGGTTAAAATGAGTGGTTACTTGGCAGTTGCTAGGGTAAACATTGTGGTTGCTAGGAAGTTACTATGATCAAATGGGTGGTTACTATAAAGTTGCTAGGCTAATCTGGGCTGTTGCTGGGCAGTTACTAGGATAAAATTAATGGTTGTTAGGCAGTTGCTATGGTAAAGAGTGGTTGCTAAGCAGTTACTAGGATCAAGTGGTTGCTAGGATGTTCCTAGGGTAGTCTGGATTATTGCTAAGCAGCTACTAGGATCAAATAAGAGGTTGCTAGGTAGTTGCTAAGGTAAAGAGTGTGGTTGCTTATCAGTTACTATGATCAAATGAGTGGTTGCTAGGCAGTTAATGGGATCAAAAGACTGGTTGCTAGGCAATTGCTAGGGTAATCTGAGCGGTTGCTAGGAAGTTACTAGGTCTAAATAAGTGGTTGCTATAAAGTATAAAGTTGCTAGGTTAATCTGAGTTGTTGCTAGGCAGTTACTATGATCAAATGAGTGTTTATTAGGCAGTTGCTAGGGGGTAATCTTTGTGGGTGCTGGGCAGTTACTATGATTAAATGAGTGTTTGTTAGGATGTTGCTAGGGAAGTCTGGGTGATTGCTAGGCAATTACTAGGATCTAATTAGTGTTTGCTAGTCAGTTACCAGGTTATATAGTTTGGTTGCTAAGCAATTACTAGGATCAAATTAGTGGTTGCTTGGAAGTTGCTAGAGTAATCGGGGGTGTTGCTAGACAGTTACTAGAATCAAATGAGTGGTTGCTAGGCAGTTGCCATGGTAAAGAGTACTTGCTAAGCAGTTACTTGGATCAAGTGGTTGCTAGGATGTTGCTTGGGTAGTCTGGATTATTGCTAAGCAGCTACTAAGATCAAACGAGTGGTTGCCTAGCAGTTTCAAAGGTAAAAAGTGTGGTTGTTATGCAGTTAATAGGATCAAACGACTGGTTGCTAGGCAGTTGCTAGGGTAAAGAGTGTGGTTGCTATGCAGTTAATAGTATCAAACGAGTGGTTGCTAGGCAGTTGCTAGGGTAAACAGTGTGGTTGCTAGGAAGTAACTAAGATCAAATAATTGGTTGCTAGGTAGTTGCTAGGGTAATCAGGGTTGTTGCTAGGCAGTTACTAGGATCAGATGAGTGTTTGTTAAGCAGTCGCTAGATAATTTAGTGTGGTTGCTAAGCAGTTACAATTTCTAACTTACAATTTATACTACCTATTTAAAATCTGCATAAAACAAGGGAAACAAGCTTCCTGTAATAGCAGAAGTTTGATTGTGCACCTTTTACGTGTCGTACTGTATTTGTCTCTATAGAAAAGCCCATGATAAACCAGAGCTCGACTAATAGCAAGCTCTGATTTTCCTGCAGTCCCCGTGTCTTTACATCTCACTTTAAAAACAGCTCTCTTACACCATATGTGTTTGTTATATCCACAGAAAGCAGGCAACAGATCAAAAACTATTTGATCAGAGACCAGGAATCAGTCCAACACACACACACACACACACACACACACACAGCTCCTACGCTCCTCAGAGATAATCAAATGTCTCGTTTGATATGACAAAAATGCAAATTTAAACATGAAGATGGAAAGCTGATTAAAAATTGGCCAGATTTAAAGTCAAATGTTAGATCTGTGACCTCAAAACTGTTTGAATTAACAGCACACATACAGCTGAAGTCAGAAGTATTGGCCCCCTGTTTGTTTTTCCCCCTGTTCTGTTTAACTGAGAATTTATTTCCTACACATTTCTAATTATAATAGTTTTAATAGCTCATTTCTAATAAATCTGATTCATTTTATCTTTGCAATAATAATATTTGATTAGATGTTTTTCAAGACACTTCTATACAGCTTAAAGTGACATTTAGAGGCTTAACTATGTTATTTAGGCATGGAATGTGTCTTTATGTAATGTGTATTTTAGGCATTGTCACAGTTGTTAAAATCAGTGTGTCAGTGAAACAGTACAGGCTATGTGTGTGTGTCAAACATTATGGAGAATAACCTTTGTTTGGGCTGGTTATACATTTGAAAGAAAGATAAACTGTTGTCTTTAACGATGACGAGGCTCCATTTAAACTGCTGAAGATGTCGTCTGACAACGAGGGGAAAATGCCTCACAGCAGCTGTTTTCCGTCCTATTAGATCACATGTTTTAAATGATCAGTCCAGGAGATGGCGCTGATCAACAACAGTATTAGTTCAAAGATGATAAAAGCAGGCAAAGTAGATTAAAACTATCGTTTCAAAGCTGTTCAAATGTGACTGTTTACACAGATCAGCTGCCGACCAGCTGTTCTTAGCATTCTCCTTGCTAATACACACAAAGTATAATGGGTAATTTGTGTTCTAAGAAAAAGGTTTATTGAATAGGACTTATTCTTCGCCGACAAGCGGGTGCAGCCATTTGAATCTTTTTGGCTTGAGATTTCCGGTCTCATTCACTTCCATTCATTTTTAGACATTAATGAACCTAAAAGAGCACATGTCACCTCGCTGCTCATCTGTTTGCACTGGCTGCCAGTTGCTGCTCGCATCAAATTAAAAGCTCTGATGTTTGCTTACAAAGCGACCTCTGGCTTTGCTCCTTTCTATCTCCTCTCACTTCTGCAGATTTATAGGCCCTCCAGAAACTTGTGTTCTGTGAATGAACGTCGCCTCGTGGTTCCATCGCAAAGAGGGAAGAAAATGCTTTTCCGAACTCTCGCATTCAATCTGCCCAGTTGGTGGAATGAACTCCCGAACTGCATCAAAACGGAAGAGTCACTCGCTGTCTTCAAGAAACGACTCAAACGATTCACAAATGCCAAACGAACTGCGCTAACTGGGCAAACGAGACAGGTTCCGAAACAAAAGTTTAGGTGTGAAAGTACCCTAAAAGAGGGCGCTTCCTTTGTTTTCATTCTCCTGCTTGTGCATGCGCTAGTGACGTTTCTCTGTAGACCAATAGCATTCAGCTATGCGTTTAGCTCTGGCTTTATGATACCATTTTTACGTGCTAGGCACTATACCTTTTAAAATGATACCCAAAATGTGGTGTGGTATGGTACGGTTTGCTTTTAGGTAACTTTTGACAAATCAAATCACTTTTATTGTCACATCAGCAGCACGTGTGCTATGATGAGTGAAAAGCTTAGGTGCTGGCTCCAGACAGTAGAAAATACAGATTTGATAAAATGCAAATACAACAACAGTGCAAAATACAACAGCATACTCCCAAAAAAACAGAACATTGTAAAATTGACAATGATTTTTGTACAATGAATAGGTGAATAGTTGTAGGCAGTATTGTTTCAAGTATGGATTGGTTGACAGTGGAAACGACTAAAAAAGTGTACCCAGGGCCTGAGCAAGCGGAACTGGCACTCTAGGCAAACGACAATCACGCCGCCCTCAACCTGAAAGTGAAAACAGAAGTAACCGGTTCGCAAAGTGAAGACCTGGTTGTCATGGATGAAAGTGAGGACCGGGGGGGTTGTGTCACGGATGCCACCTAGGTCGCCTCTGTGGACGCGCCGCCCTGGGCGTACCATACCTCACTCAGTGGAAATAGGCCATAAGGGGGCTAATCATATTGATCTTAATTAATAAAAAATAAATAAATAAAAACTGCTTTTATTCTAGCCGAAATAAAACAAATAAGACTTTTTCCAGAAGAAAAAATATTAAAGGAGCTACTGTGAAAGAAACGGCATTCGGGAAATAATTGAAAAATAAAGAAATAATCAAAGGAGGGCGAGTAATCGTGACTTCAACTGTAAATAAAGACACACACACACATACACACCTCGTAGGTTGCGGATGAAGTCCTCCAGAAGCATCTTGCGCTCTGGTTTGATGTTGGGACTGTACATGTCTGTGTTGAGCAACACGATGGCGAAGGCCAGGATGAAGATGGTGTCGGGGTTGTGAAACTGCTGCACCACGTCTGGGTTACACATGCAATACCTCTGACTGAAGGAAAGAACAACAGCTGATGTATACGTGCATATTATACTTGGTGAAACTCATGTTTTAATAATTGGGAAATATTTTAAAAAGAAAAAAAATCACAGGAGGGCGAATAATCAACTGTAGACATAATGTTTTATGTAAATAATAATTAAAACTTAATTGTAGAGCATGTGAAACATTGTTAAACATTCATTCATTTACCTTCGGCTTAGTCCCTTATTTATCAGGGGTCGCCACAGCGGAATGAACCGCCAACTATTCCAGCATATGTTTTATGCAGCAGATGCCCTCCAGCAGCAACCCAGTACTGGGAAACACCCATACACACTCATTCACATGCATACACTATGGCCAATTTAGCTTTCCCAGTTCACCTATAGCGCATGTGTTTGGACTGGGGAAAACCGGAGCACCCGGAGAAAACCCACATGAACACGAGGAGAACATGCAAACTCCACACAGAAATGCCAACCTCTTGCTGTGAGGAGATGACTCTTCTGTGTGTTTCTCACCTGAAGGCTTCAATAAGTCTCTCCACTTTCTGAGCTTCTCCTTGAACCCGAACATGAGCCTGAAACTTCCTGAGCGCTTCGTCCAGCTCCAGCATGGAGAAATCCATCTCATCCACCACACAGCTGACAGAGAGAGGACGGAAAACAGACTCGTGAATGAGGCTCCAGCATAGATAAGAAATTGAATCTTCAGCTTTTACTGTCAGTGTTTGGCTTTTAATTAACAACCTCAAATTAAATTGATAAAAGTCTATAAAATGATTCCCTTTAGTTCTGAATATTTGTGCTTTGGTTAATGCAGTCAGGTAAATTATATATAATACAAGATTTGTAAAATATATTTGTATTTTTTTTAAGCAATGAAAATGAAAATTAATTCAGAATTAATTTATTCTTATTAATCTCTTTTTTTTTTACAAAACATCATACAGGTTCATAGTTTCTTAATTTATTATAAGCTTTTATCAAACCGTTTTTTTTTTTTTTGTATTTGCATTTTATTTGCAATGACAATTGTGACTTTATCAAGTTTTTTTTTATAATATTACCCATTTCCTTGCATTAATTAGTTATTTATTTAGAAAATCTTTACTGTTTTGTCTGTTTCATATTGTAGATATATAAAATGTATTATTTATTAAAAGTTTATTTATTAATTTCATTATCCTTTATTCATAAAAATCCATAACAGACTAGTCATGTTATATATATATGAAGTCAGAATTATTTGCCCCCCTGTTTATTTTTTTTACCAATTTCTGTTAAAGGGAGAGAAGACTTTTTCAACACTTTTCTAAACATAATAGTTTTAATAACTCATTTCTAATAACTGATTTATTTTATCTTCGCCATGATGACAGTAAATACTATTTGACTAGATATTTTTAAGACACTTCTATACAGCTTAAAGTGACATTTAAAGGCTTAACTAGGTTAATTAATTTAACTAGGCAGGTTAGGGTAAATAGGCAAGTTATTTTATAATGATGGTTTTTTTGTAAACTATCGGGAAAAAATAAATAGCTTAAAGGGGCTAATAATTGTGACCTTAAAATGGTGTTTAAAAATGTAAAACTGCTTTTATTCCAGCCAAAATAAAACAAATAAAACTTTCTCTGTTAAACATCATTTGGGAAATATTTAAAAGGGGGGCTAATAATTCTGACTTCAACTGTGTACATATATATATATATATATATATATATATATATATATATATATATATATATATATATATATATATATATATATATATAATTAATAGTATATAATTATAAATCATAAAATAAAAACACTAACGATCAAAAGTTTGGAGTCGTTTTTTTTTTAAGAAAATTATTCTGTTCATCAAGGGGGCATTTATTAAATGCAAAAAGGATTGTTAAATACTTATTACAATTTTAAATAACTGCTTCCTTATTGTATGCAGTTTCAACTTAAATGATTACTCCAGTCATTATTGTTTTTATTACTATTACCATCATTAATAATATACATATTAATAATAACAATACTTGAAACAATACTGCCTACAACTACGTGGAATCGTATTCATTGTACATATCGCTGTCAATTTTACATTGTCATTGTATTTGCACTGTCTGTATTTTATAATGTCTGGAGCCAGCAACTAAGCTTATCACTCATCATAGCACACGTGCTGCAGATGATGTGACAGTAAAAGTGATTTGATTTGATTTGATAACAATAATAATTAATATTGGAGTGATTACTGAAAGATCATGTGACTCTGAAGACAGGAGTAATGAAGCTAAAGTTCATTTCTGGAAAAAGTGATTAAATTAAATGATAAACTACAGTTGCTTTATAGTGCAATAACATTTCAAAATTTTACAATTTGTATTGTATTTATGATTAAATAAATGCAGCCTTCATGAGCAGAATAAGCTTAATTTAAAACATTTAAAAACCCTACTGACCCCAAACTTTTGACCGATAGTATGTGTATATATATATATATATATATATATATATATATATATATATATATATACACACACACAATATATATAGGAAAACTGTATAGCCTTTTTATTCCAGTTAAACACAAAATAAAATAAAAATATAGCATATATAATCTTTTTATATTTATTTATGTTATAAATTGATAAACCTTTACTTATTTATTATATTAACATCCAATCGTCTTTTTTATTCTCTATTTTATACATTAATTATATGTCGGAGACCATGTATTATTTATCTATCTATTATATTTTTATTCACTTACTTTTATTCATGTATTTCAGTATCATGAAATAAACATACTGTACATGTAAACTTGGCTTCATTTTAAGTGTGCTGTAATCATACTTGGCAATAAATCCCTATTGTATTCTGATTACTTTTTCCAAAAACATTTTTAATCCAGCTAATCATGTTGGATTCATTTGTTTATAAAGCTGCTTTGTGTGAGTTAGGCATAAACCCTGGCATAAACTCACTCCAACACGTCTCTGTTAAATTGCCTTTTGCTGTTTCCCAGAAACTCCCCGATCATCTGCCGGCTCAGTCCTTTCCTCTGAAGCAGAAAATGAGCCACACCGATGGCTGTGTCCGGAATAAAGCCCCTGGAAATCAGGAACTGGATGCCTTTGTCTGGATTTCTGCAGGACGATTAAGGAATATGTAAGTGATTGATATTACTAATATGAAGACACATTTCTTGAACATATAAGCATATTAGCATGATCCTGATGGGTCAAGTGACATGAGGAAAACTGGAGAAATTGAGCTTTGCATTATAGGAATAAATGACATTTTTTAGTCTTGTATATTAGGATTGAAATCAGTTGTTTTAATTGAGAGTAATGCATAACATATAATCTGATTACTTTTTTACATTTACTTCATTTAGGTTTAATCACTTCACTTCTCACTTTAGGGTGTAAAAGGTTCTTACATTTATGATTTTTATTTATTTTTTAAATCTATTGCAAACAAATTAGTTTGGTTCATCTGTAACTCATTACTTTCCTTAAGAAGTAACTAGTTTAGTTATTTTTATGATATTTATTTCTTTTTAAAGTAACTTTTCCCAACGCTTGTATGATAACATTTAGAATGTATTATCATTTTTAATGTATTTAGAAAATAAGGTCAATCTTGGTAAGCATAGAAAATTTATTTTAAAAATATCAAATATATCTTAAAGGTGACCTAATATGTCTCTTTTTACAAAATTTAAAGGGCACCTAGTAGAGATGCGCGGATGGGCTATTATTTCATCCGCAACCGCATGACAAAATTCATCATCCGTCAATTTTTAAAACCGCACCCGCCCGCCATCTGCTGATTGGGCTCTTTATTTGAATGGCTTATTCCTTTTTTTTATTAAATGAATGTTTCTTTATTGATCATTATAGAATGACTTTAATGTAGACATGCAGTTAATCCAAACGTGCAATTCATTAATTGATGACGCTTTGAAGTTACGCTAAAGATACGAGGACGTGTCTTTTCACTTGATTCGATTCCTCGGTCCTTCAGTCTTTTTGTGTCCTTCCCTCGTAACGTTATCCCGGTGGGGTGGAAACACGAGGAAAGAAAGCAAGGAAAGGAAACGAGGATGCACAAATAAGAAATGAGAAGCACCCGAGCTCTCAGAATATCAGCAGTGAACTCCGTCTCCAATCGGCGCACAGGGACAAAAATAAATAAATAGCCTAAATTAAACGCACTGTACTGTACAACTTTTTTTTTTATTGTAGCCTAATAGAAAACGCATTGACACATCATTTCAACATGCTGCTATTTAGCCTACTACTAAATGCCTATTTCACTTATTTTTTTTGTAAATAGATAGAATAATAAGTCATTTACATTATAGCCTAATAATGTTTACATTTGTAGTTGTCCATAGCAACCCCAAAAACGTACCTGATTGCCTTTCACATCTAATTAATAGGCACAGTTTTTCGACTATTTTTTATTTTTTGCTGTGGATGTTATTGATCTTGTAGAAATCGGAAACAACACAGTTCTGCGACACAGATGAACCTTTATTGATATCTCTATCAAACAATACCTATTTTATATGCCAAAAGAAACAACAGGCAGTAAAAAAATAAAATATTAACATAAATATCTTAATGTAGGCATAGGCTATAGTTGCATGCTTTGGCAAACAGTTGAAAATTTTTTAATAAAAACGTCATATCGTGCCTAAGCCTTGTAGGCTCAGTCACCCCCACAATTAGAAATTAAATAAGAAAAATAGGTCCCACTTTATATTAAGTGTCCTTAACTACTGTGTACTTACATAAAAAAAAAATACAATGTACTTACTGTGTTTAAAATGTATTTGAGAACACTTTTGGTGCTTTTGAGTTAGGATAGAGGTTGGGTTATGGACAGGTTTGGTGGTGTGGGTAGGTTTAAGGGTGGGTTAAGGTGTAAGGGATGGTCAACAGTGTATTTACAAATGTAATTACAAAAGCTAATTACAGATGTAATTACATACAGGTATTTAATCAAGCATAAGTACACAGTAAATACATGTATTTAAACAATTAATACATTGTAACAAACTATTAATTCCTATGTAAGTACATATTAGTTAAGGCCACTTAAAATAAAGTGGGACCGAAAAAGAGATATGCCATCCCTCTTTGAGCGAACCTGACCAGGCTAAAGTGCATGTATGACAAGTGCCCCAATAACCCATGGACTTAGGATCATCCCCATTCCCCTCAAACTTGAAGCATAACGAAATACTACGCCATTAAATTTGCAACAAAGAAATTCTGGCAAAATAACCTTAGCCTCGGAACGTAAAAGCGAGGCCAACATGTCTAGAATAGAATAGGCTAAACCAATATGAACGTAAAATTATCAGCTGACCGAACTCAAAAGTTTATATTGAACATATGTGTAGCCTAAATAACATAGGCTAATTGGTTTAATATGCCTGACCTTAGGTCTAGTTTGATTTTTTCTTGGCACAATGCAGGAATAAAATAGCATCTACAGTGTCAGGATTCAGACGGGAGTGCCTGCATAGCCACTGCGCCCTGCTGCACTGAAGGAGCGCTCGCTCGCAGCACTTGTTGCTAAAATGCATAGAATTCTCTTGGAAAGGTGCTGTAGTCGTGGAAATGCGTGGCCTTATTTCTCCCAAAAGGAAAGTAGATTTTCCTCTGCTGATCCGTCTATACGGAAGTTTGTAGAGGAATACTTCTGTACACTTCATCCAGAATTAGTGTATCCGATTCCTCCTCCCATTCTGTGAAGTCAGTAGGCTTTTTCGTTGGTGCGCCAGATATGAATATAAAAACAGTACAACCGCCCACCACCCACCCGAATTTAATTTAAATATTATTTTTTCGTAACGTCATCCGCCCGATCCGCGGTTTATCCACGGAGTCCGCGGCTTTAACCGCCAACCGCGCATCTCTAGCACCTAGGGTGAAAAATTCTACTTTTCAATCTGTTTGGACAGACATGTATGTAGGTATAGTGTATAGACCGTTATATTGGGGTGAAATAAACACACATAGTCAGTTTTTTTCAATTTAACAACATAAAAACGGTGGAACAATTGGAGCTGTTTTATGACCGACCGCAACATAGGAGAGCGGTCTCTCCGCCCACTGAATTGATTGACAGCTGCGTATTAACTTGTCCCGGTAGTCACATGTATAATCATATCATCCAGAGAAGACGAGTGCAAAGAAACCGGGTGTAAAAGATCTGTTCAGTTTGCTAGGATCATCAATCATCATCATCAAATGTGATCAAGAATAGTGAGTTTTACAAGTTTAAAAGGTTTTAAAACAGTGCACGTGTGTAATAAATTACAGCGATTTACTTCAGTTTTACTTCATCAGCATAGCCGCGTGTCAGAATAATTATAAAGGAAGACGATTCAATCCCGGTTTGTGGATGTAAAATCAGGTTTATTTTGTACATTAACATCACATATCATCCATACAGCAGTGGAGATTAACCTGTATCCTGTCACATTTGGGTACAAAAAGAGTGCAAAGCTAAACGTGCGCTGTCTGCTGGTATGTGCGTGTCACGTCCGCGCTGTGTATGTGTATCTGTGTGTGTGCGCGTGAACTTTGTAACGACATTGTGTGTGACTCATCGTTGTAACTTAACACAACAAATGCATCAAATACTCATTGGTAAAGTTCTTACTGTAGTATATCTCAGAAACGCTACGTGAGATCTGCTTCCTTTAAGTCTGTCTGACGCAGCCGAGGGAGGAGATTAAGGCATGCAGATAGGCACGTAGAAACGGTGGGTAGGGAAGGACTAGTCTTAAAAGGCGCAGTACAGCAAAACCGCCCCCAGTGCAAAAATTTATAAAATAGAATCTTATGAAAGGTATGATGAAAAATCTGATGGGTGTTTTAAGCTGAAACTTTACAGACAATTTCTGGAGACGCAAAACACTTATATTAAATCTGAAAAAAGGGGTAACCTAGGTCCTTTAAAATAATTCAAAATAATAACTTATATTGTGTATGTGACGTTTAAGCCTAAAATACCCCACAAATAATGAAACTGCCTCTTTAAATTTAAATTGTGTCGTTTTAGTTTTTTCAAAATAGGGCGGAGCTACAAACTCCTGAGCCTCAGCATCCGCTTGTTAAGTGTGATGTCACGCGAAGTGGCTTCCGGGTCCAAGTGCTTTATCAAACTGAATGGGGAGACTCATCAAATTGTAATAATGAATGTTTATAAAGTGCTGTAATACTTTCGAAAATCATGATTTCAATATATCCATGCCTAATATCCCAGAAAGTGATTATTTTTGTATAAATTGTTACAATTTTGTTATTTGTGATGCAGCGAGTCTAGAGACTGATGTGTACACCAGTGGTTCTCAAAGTGGGGGGGTTACGGGACAATGAGTGGGGGTCGCTTGGTGATTTTCAAAAATCAAATTCATTTTACTAAACTATTAGCACTACCATATTTTATCCATAACCCACAGAAGAAAAAAATACTAGTTAATAGTTCATTCATTCATTTTCTTTTCGACTTAGTCTCTTTATTAATCTGGGGTCACCACAGCAGAATGAACCCCCAACTTATCCAGCATATGTTTTACACAGCGGATGCCCTTCCAGCTGCAACCCATCTCTGGGAAACATTCACACACATTGCACTACGGACAATTTAGCCTACCCAATTCACCTGAACCACATGTCTTTGGACTTGTGGGGGACACCGGAGCACCCGGAGGAAACCCACAGGAATGCAGGGTAACCATGCCAACTCCACACAGAAACACCAACTGACCCAGCCGAGGCTTGAACCAGCAACCTTATTGCTATAAGGCTATAGCACTACTGCGCCACTGCATAAACAAAAATTAAAAATACTTCGGCGTTCATTTGTGCATCCTAAAACCACATTTATAAAGCCTCTTAGTCGCTGACGTTATCTTCAGCAGTTATGATGCGAAAACTCTATAATGCTAGATGGTTGCTTCTCACTCAGGGCTGTCTATGCTAATGAGGGAGAGATGGTCACTGATGGGCGGGGCTTTCCCCTCTGATGACATCTACAAAAGGAGAATGTCAATCAAAGCGTTTCAGCATTCCATCAAGAGATGGAATCAATGAATTGACTATATTCACACACTGTTGCC